GCGCCCGGGGGAGTGCGGCAAAGGGGTGCTCAGCACCTTGTAGCGCCCCGGGGGAGTGCGGCAAAGGGGTGCTCAGCATCTTGTAGCGCCCGGGGGAGTGCTCGACGTAGTCGTTCCGGCCAGTGAGAAGCCAACGACGTAGACGTCGAATAGACGTCGATTTAGATGCTTATGGTCAAAAATCGACGTCGATGTAGCTTCAACGTCGAAATTGTCGAAGAAACGTAATTTTGTCCCCAAAATCCACATCTTTTCGTTTTCTCGACGGCGATTCCACGTTTGTATTTCTCAATGAGATAGTGACGCGAGGAGTTGCGGTGTTGTTCGCCACTCGCGTCATCCACCGTTGCTAAAACAGCCGAATGAAGACAAAATTTGACTTGTGCCACGGATCTGAGACCGTGGCGATTGACTCACCTTTTTGGTGAAAGGAGGGGCTTAAGAGGTTTTGGTTGATCGTGCATCCCCCTCTTCTCATACTCGTTCTAGTTTCTTTTTAAACAACGCAGAAAACACCCAAGGGCGTAGCCTGTTAATTAAAGCCAGTCGTTGCAAGCTTCCTCATGATAACTTATCAGCAGTTTTGGTGTTGATCGTCATAAAAAAAAAAAAAACACACAATAATGCTAATGTTTATTTGGAAGATGCAGGGTGGGATCATGTAAAACGCACGCAAATAAGTGGGCGCAGTACGAAGAGCAACCATTATACTAGATACACGGGAGGACACGAGGCTCGCAAGTCCGAGGGGGAAAACAAACGATCGTGACGGCATTGTCATGTACTTTTAAAGTCTTAAAATCTCCTCGGGCCGACGCGGGGGAGGCAGGCGCGCGCTATACCGAACACGCCCTCCTCCATCTCCATATGGAGCACTAGCCGTTAACACTATATCCCGACCCACAAAACGTTTTCTCTATGGCCTCAGCAGGGAGGCTGCCTTGCACTGAGTCATACTCATGCCGCATCCTTTGCCGCACTCGGCCAGTTCAAATTTCCCGCAAAAAAAAGGCACCTTATTCCCTGTTGGCCTGCTGGAGGGCAGCCTCTCCGCATCTCCAGGACGGGTCGGATCTATTCCAGGGTGCTGCGCCTCTGCACCTCGCCACGCCGCTTGGCTGATGCGAGGGAAGGCCCCTGTTAAGGACAGCAAGCTGGACAGCGGACGGCGCGACTAGACTGCTGGCCGGTCCCGCTGACACGAGAGAGGGAGAGAGAGAGAGGGGGGGGGGGGCGTCACAACTGCCACGTGTTGTTATACCTGCAGCTGCTGTCACGTGTCCGCCGGGGCGGTTGTCACGCCGTGTGACTGCCCCCGCCGCGACGGAGCGCGCAGCAAGGAGTGACGCGGAGAGAATGCAAATAATAAATCAAACGGGGTAAAACGAAAATAATAGTAAAAAAACGTCACAGCAACAACGACAACAAGCTTGAGTCCGATTGAACGGATTGAGCTCGAGGAGCCCTCCTCTCCCCCTCCCCGGTCCCCACTGTCCAGCCGAGTTATCTCGAGCGAGAGAAGGGGGGGGGGGAGTGTGGTGGTCAGCCAATGACACATGGCACGGGCAGCAGGCGAAGGCGATGCACCCGCCATGTTGCACCACCGCACAAGCTGCTTCGCTCCTCCACCACTCCCCCTTCAAAAAGATCTAGCAGCTTCCAACCGCCTCCCGTTGAGGGTGAAGGACTGTTGCTGCCGCGGCGTTGCGAGAGTTCGCACATTCTTCTCATTCTGCTACGCGTGGGTTAGACTCTTGCGTGCTGTTCTCCCAGTTGTGTGTGTGTGTGTGTGTGTGTATGTGTGTGTGTGTGAGGGCTTCTTGCACCAAATAGATTTGTAACTTGAGAGTTTCTTTAGCTTGTGGCATGACTCACATCACAGTGAGAAGAAGAAAGTCACAGTTCGAGCCGAAATATAACAGAGATGCGGCTTAAGGGATCGTCGAGAAAGTACGTCTCTTTCTATTATTTTCTCAGATTCATTCGGAAAATTCGCGGAAGCTAGGCGCCTGCGAGACGCGGGGTAGGCCACCCTGCAGTACCCGCATGCACTGCAGGCGAGATGTTGCCTACCCATCATACGCTAAGACAGCTTGCAGACGCTGAACTTGGTCGGATCCTCGCGGCAAATGACGGACGTACTTTCTAGGTGGTCCCTCGGTCCAAATAAGTGCAAGCACTCAGAGACGCATCATGAAAACAGCAGACGACAAACACACACACACACACTCACACACAGCTTCATCATCGCACCACCCTCGCAAATAGAGATAACTTTTTTAAGGCCCCATAAATAAAGTTACTGAGATCAGAGCCTTTCAGTCGCGGAAGTGTGTACGACCGACGACGGTGCGGAGCGCGAAATTGTTTCATCTTTCATCTCATACCCCCCTCCCCCCTTCCCGTCTCTCCCTCCCTCCCTCTCTCTCTCTCTCTCTCTCTCTCTCTCTCTCTCTCTCTCTCTCGCTCGCTTCCCGTCTCTCCCTCCCTCCCTTCCGCACATACAACATACACACATATCATACATACACACATATCATACATACATACATACATACTACATACATATGTACAGATACACATACATGTGAGGTCAAAAATGAGCTCTGCGGCGCGGGCTCGGGCGCGGCGCCGGCGTGCCAGGGCGCCCTTCTGGGTAGGTGGGCCCGCCGGGCGGTCGTGCGGCCTGGTTGCCTACCCCTGGGCGGCCCGCCCGCCCGCCGCCCGCTGCACCGCACGGCACGCGCATTCCACCAGCACCACTAGCTTGTTACCGCCCCCCTCCCCCTCTTTCCCGTGGTGTCCGTCCGC